ATAGTGCATACATATGTATGTATAATTATATATTATATATATATATATTATATATATATGTATATATACGGTGCGGATGTAGGCGTAGTAGTAGTGTAGTATAACAACAGTAGTAGAGTATTTATATACGTCAGCGCGAGCGAGTGCAGGTCGCGTGTGCTAACCTGACTGTTATTCAGTTCCTGCAACAGCATTTCGAGTTGGTTCTGGAGACGCTCGCGCTCGACCGACGCCAGATCAAGGTCCTCTCGCGTGCGATCGAGCTCCTTTCGCAGGCTGGCTGCCTCCTGGCCGCCATTTTGCTGCTGCGGTTGCTGCTGCTGGTACTGTTGTATCTGCTGATGTTGCTGCTGCATCGTCGCCTGCATCTGCTGGATCTGCTGTTGCTGCGCGTGCAGCTGCCTCTCCGTTTGCTGGATATGTTTTTGCAATTCGGCGGCCTGCTTCTCGGCCGTGTGCGCCCGCGCCTTCTCCGCCTCGCAGACCTTCTTCCAATTCTCCATCTGTTGCTCGCTGGCTGCAGCCCCCGTCGCGTCCCTCGAGGCCATCATCTTTTGCATCTCTTGCATGCGTTTCTCGGCCAGCTCAGCCCTCTGTCGTTCCTTCGTCTGCGCGTCGGTCAGAGTTTGCACCTGCTGTGTCAAACGGTGCACCTCTCTCATCTGAGCCTCGTTCGTGTTCAACTCCTGCTGGAAGTTGACCAACATCTCCTGCGATTTCTCCAACTGTATCACCAGCTGATCACGCTCCACTTGTAGCTGCTTCGCCTCGGCCTCGAGCTTCTCCTTCATCTTCTCAGTCTTCTCCGTGTGTTTCTCCCAGTTCTCGAGAATAGCGCCCATCTTGTCCCGTTCGCGTTGTGCCAACTGCAACTCGTGCCGCAGATGCGCCAGCTCCTCGCTACCAGCGATCTGTTGCTGCTGCTGTTGCTGATGCTGCTGTTGCTGCTGCTGCTGTTGCTGTTCCAATCGTCTCAGCTCCTGTCTCATACCCTCTCGTTCATCCCTGATCAGCTGCATCTCATTGGCCAAACGTTCGAGCTCCTTCTTGTTCGCTTCGGCGGCCTCCTGATACTTTGCCGTCTGCATATGCGCTGCCTCGAGCTCCTTGGCCAGCCTGCCAGCCTCGAGCTCCACCTGATCGCGCGCGACTATTGCCTTGTCGAGGCTAGCGCGCAATCGCTCTACCTCGATGCTCGCGCTCTCCGATCTGGTCTTACCCTCGGTCTGCATCAGCCTCTCCAACCGGATAATCTCCACCCGTAGCTTCTCGTTGTCGGCCTCCAGGGCGTCCGCTTTTACCTTCACCTTGTCGTGACGGTCGCGTATCTTCTCCGTCTCTATACGAGCGCGTTCGATCTCACCGCGATTCTTTTCCTGCGCCGCAGCCGCCTTGTTGGTCTCGTCACGCGACCTCTCCAACTGTAGCTGCGCCTCGTGCAGCTCTGTCTCGCGGATCTCCAAACGTTCACGGAGCTTCTCCACCTCCTGCTGTAGCCTACTACCCTCGCTCTGCCACTTCTCTTGCTCGTACTCGTATTTACCTCGCACCCCCTCCGCACGTTCCAGATCGGCGCGCAGCCTCGAGGCGTCCTGCTCGGCCTTCCGCGCGCGTTCCAGTTCCGTCAACGCCTTCTCCAAACGGTCGCGGAGCCGCTCCACCTCCAGCTTCGCCCGCTCGTGCTCCTCCTTCTGCCGCTCTTGGCTCTCCTGGTATTTGCCGAACCTTGCCGCGTACCTCTCGGACTCCTCGCGCGCGCTCTCCGCCTCCACGCGCAGTCGCTCCGTCTCCGCCTGGGCTTTCCTCACTTCGGCCTGTTGACGATCGTGTTTCTCGTACATCTTCTCGATCTCCACCTGCATACGCGCCAATTCCTCCTGCGTCTTGTCAGTGGCAGCCTGCGCTTTGTTCAGCTGCGAATGAGCCCGTTCCAGCTCGAAGTTGATACGCTCGTTGTCCGCTACAAGCTTCTCCCGTTCGTTCTGCAGTCTACGAAGATCGATCTGAGATTTCTCGTAACGTTCACGAACCATTTGCAGGTCCACCGTTAACCTATCTAAGTCCTCCTTCGATTTCTCCTCGTGCTCCTTCGTTCTGCTCAGCTGAAGGGCTGCACGATCGTACAGCTCTTGCATGTGAGCCAACTCCTCCTGAGCCTTCCTAGCCTCTTCGCGGCTCTTTGACGCTAACATTTGCTGCTTCTCCGCCTCGAGTTCGAGCCGGTCTTTGTCGGCAATCATCACCTCGACGCGGTTCTGCAGCCGATACACTTCGCTCTGAGCTCTGTTTTCAATCGCAATCAGGTTTGAATAATGGTTAATTGTGTTGAATAGAATTACAAGTTCTATGAAAGTGGTAAAATTTCAATAGAAAATAAATAATTGAATTTATTCATACGAAATTGTAGTAGTAGAATTAATATTATCGAGAAAATTAAGTAAATGTAAATATTTGAATTATTTTCTAAATTAAATTTTAATAAAATCGAACCCAAATTTAAAACTGTTATACTTATTATTGTATCAAATAAAACGAACAATTTTTATCTCTTATTTTTAACATTTTCAATTTTTAGTTTTATTTACTTCAACAAAAATAATTATTTGATTTAAGAGAAATTCATAATTTGCTGATAGTTGGTCTAGGATTGTTACTAACTTACCTGTCATACTTCTCCAACATTTTTTCGAACTCCTTCTTCGCGTTCTCCCGCTCCTCTTGAGCTTTGGTCATCGTGTATTGAAACTTCTCCAGTTTCTCCTTCAGGATTTGGATCTCCGTCATCGCGTCGTCTCGTTCAAGCTGTACAAGGATTAGCAGGAATTCTCATTGTTTATTTTTATCGTTCACTTTCGAATATGTACAACGAAAGGTATACTACTGACGGTTAGCTTCTGATGGGAGCTGTGAACCTTCTCCCATCTGTCCTTAACCAGCTGAAGCTCCGACAACGCGTTCTCCTTCTCTCGTTGCATCTTCGTTAATTGATTTTGGTGGAACTCGATCTTCTCGTGAAGCTTCTCTATTTCTTCCTGAACACCTTCTCTCTCCTTCTGCAGCCGCTGTATTATGAGCTATCGAACGTGAAACATACCGTGACGATAAAATAATTGTAATCGTTAAAGCTGATTACATGTTGTCAAGCGAAGAACACACTAGTGAATTTTAGAAATTTAAGGAAATACTTCATTCTGAATTTTAGAATTTTCAATTTAGAATTTTAAGAAAATAATTCATATAGAATCTTAGAATTTTCAATTTACAATTTTAAGAAAACAGTTCATTCAGAATCTTGGAATTTTCAGTTTAGAATTTTAAGAAAATAATTCATTCAGAATCTTAGAATTTTCAATTTACAATTTTAAGAAAATAATTTATTCAGAATTTTTAAATTTTAAGAAAATAATTCACCTGAGCAGTCTCGTATTTGTCCTGTAACCGAACCACTTCCAACTGGATCGTTTCCCGTTCCTTCTGCATTCTCGTCGATTGACCAAGCGCTTTGTCCAATTGGCTCTGCAGGTTCTCGAAATCGTAATTCTGTTTTTCCCTTTCTATTTGCATCTGTTGATAATTCAATTGTACCACCATGAGATTCCATCACACTTTGTTTCACCTTTCATTTCTGATCATTCTATTTTACCCTTCGAACTTCCGTTTGCGTCTGTTCCAATTTTTCCTGTAGCATGTCCACTTCCCTTTGAGTCTGGTCCAGTAGATTCTGCAGTTTGTCCTGTTGAAGTTGTGCCTTGCCGAGAGTTGCCTGAGTACGTTCCAGTTCTTCCTGTGTTTTCTTCAATTCCGCGATAGCCTTGTCCCGTTCCGAGTGCAAATGAGTCACAGACGCCTGTGCCCGATCGTACTCGTTACGGAGGCTCTCCTGTTCGCTCTGAGCGTTCTCCAGTCGAGCCTTCAGTCTGTACACCTCACCCTGACTTTTCTCCACCTTTAGAAATGACACAACAAATTTTCATTAACATTTCTCTCGTTCGTTTTAACCTACAGTCTCGTAAAAGAATTATTAAATTGTACCGGACTAATTTTATCTACGGATGAATCTCATAACATGTAGGGCGCAAAATTAATAATCTCCAGAAGGTCTTGCAATTCCTAATGGCGGCACCATCAGTGAAGCTACACGCATACCAGATCCATTATTAATATGGATCTAACGCGTCCCTGTTCATCACGCCACTCTAATTAAAATCAATTTCTCTTCTGCATGCCTCAAGCAACGATACTAATATATCCAACATCCACTGATGAATTATTACCACGTGAAAATACCTTAACCTACCTAAATACCTTACACCGATAAAATAAGAAATTAACACAACGGTTAGAGTAAGATCTATATTTCGTAAAATCTGTTAAGTGTCTGTGGTTCACTATATTCTCATTCAGGCTTGGTTAACCCTTTCAGTGTTATTGGTGTCAATAGGCGCTTTAAAAATTTTGCGCCCTTGGCGTCTATAGGCGTTGTGAATATTTTCCCGGTATTGTGCGACTTTTGCCACTCATTTATCTTAATTCAATCCTTAATTTTTGCCCTTTGCGCACTTCCACCTTAACCCTAGTGCGTTCGTTCGTTCGACTGTACACTTGAGGTTTGTTGCGTCGCCATGCAATGTAAAATTCATTAGTCAAATTCGACCGCCAGACCGGGGTACCAAACTCACATCGGCCCGCAATACGTGAGGAAACCCCGGCCTGATGGATTATCATCGTAAAATTCATTAGTCAAATTAGACCGCCAGACCGGGGTACCAAACTCACAAACCCCCTCGAGCGGACCCATCGGCGAAACAAAAACCTCGCGGACCTCTCCTTTCCATAACCGATGCTCTTTTCCATCAGGACGACGACTCCACGGTTCATTCTCTGACCAGCACTTGGAGTCTCGCTCTCGCAGTAACACCCAACCCAGCCAAACACAGTACAATACTCATCAACATTCTCATCAACAGTTGTAAATTCAGTCAAGACAAGAAAATTCTTTAAATTCTCTCATCTTAATTGGAACCACCAAAAGAGATCAATTTCTCAATTGGGCAGCAAACCTGTACCGTCAACTAGAGTGTAAGCGGGATTTACGACCTTGCGAAATTCTTCGAAAGAATTGCGGTCCACGGGAAGCTACATGGTTTTTGGGTCTTTTTTGACCCAAAGGTCTTAGGTGTAACAATTTTTGTTACCAGCACGCCATATGAACTTAGGTAATGAACTTTCGATGTAATGTTAAGGGAACATAAATTTGATAACAGCAAAAGTAATTAAAAAGATAAGAAGGCGATGGGTCAAAAAAGACCCGAAGACCGCTCTAGGGTTAACCTTTTCGCTGCGGCAGATTTTAATGTGTAACGTGGATGACTGACGGTAAACTTTTAACCACGAATGCAAAATTTCTTATTTTGGTCGTATTGTTTTAAAATTCGGTTTATTAAATCAAGATAGAAGTGTGTAAGGATAAAAGTAGGTATTAAATTAAGGCGAAAGTGCAGCAAAAGGCTCCAACGACATAGTGCGAGCAAATTTTCAAAACGCTTATAGGTGCCAATAGTAATGAAAGGGTTAATTTAATAAGACGATAAATTCAAAATTTTAGAACAGCAAAACAGAGCGTATCTACCATCGAAGAAAAACATTCGGAAAGGCGTCAATTATGTATCTAATCTATTTGAATAATTGAGCCGAGAGGAGATTCGACAGTGAAATGAAAAACCGATTTCAAGAATCCAGCGGCGCGGAACACGTTTCGAGTGGCGAAACGGGTAAATCCCCCTCCTAGCAAAAATGCCAGTCAGGTGTCTTCGATCGAGCTGCGTGCAATTTTCCGGCCACTTAGCCGGC